GGCAAAAATTAACTTGAACTCTTGAAGAAAACACTGAGTGGTGGGCCTTGAAGGCCCCTGTTGAGAGGCCTGAGCACCACTCAGCTGGAATGCACTGTTGGAATCCGATTAGGCCGCTAGGAAACCCTGAGAAGGGGGAAAGAGGTCAAAATTAATTCTTTTAGACTGTGGATCTGAACTTCCTCATTTGGCTCCAGAATGAGAAGTCATGAATCATAAAGAAAAGTGAGTGGCAAGCAGCCACCAAAAAGATCTATCTAAGGCTAGCTGTAAGTGTGTATACAAGAAGCTAAGAACTGAAATGCAAGTGAACCACACATCACATTGGAGTTAGGTTTCTACAAACATGCTACAGCCTATTGTTAAAGTTCTGGTCATTTTACCTGCTGTGTCAGTGAGTGTTTGCCAAAAGAGAAAGCTACAAACAAACAGCCAGGCTCTCAATCATTTATTCTCACCAAGATGCAAGGCACGTGGGAACGAACTGATTGCATCTAGGCTCAGCTCTGGGATTGTGTTGCCCGCTGTTGTCCAAAGCCAGGCTGAGCTCAGCTGAGCTCACTAGGCTGGCAATGTCTACCTCCTGCTTGTATCTCATCCTCTTCAAGACCAGGATAATCCTGACATGTTTTTCTTGTGCCAATGCAGTGGTATATGATATAGAATACAAATGCAAATGCCTCTTGACAACTAAACTTTGAACGGACATGTTATTGGTGTCACCCCTACCTCTTCTACTGGCCACCCAAATCACAGGGCCGGGGGACAAAGCAAGCAGAATTCACTGGGATACAGAAGAGTGTATATATTCAAAGTATATTCTATACTTGTATGAAAATATTCTTATGAAATCCAGTGCTGGGTACAAAGGATATATACTAATAAATTCTGACTAATAATAATAAAGTTAGCTGGGAAAGAAACCTCTACTAGACAGTGCAGGCAGTACTCCAAAGGCCTAGGACAAGGAGAGCTACAGAAAGGAGTGAAGAATTGCAATCACATGACCAACTACACGTGCTAAGTTTTTCTTAAGTAGGCTTCTTCCTGCCCACCCTACTGCCACCACTCCACAGTACGTTTCCCACCCGCCATCCTTCTGTTCCTGTAACTCATAGGGCTGTGTGATTTTTTTTTCCTTATGGTTTTTCCCAGACAGGGTTGCTCTGTGTAACAGTCCTGGCTGTCCTGGAATTCAATCTATAAATCAGGCTGGCCTTGAACTCACAGAGATCTACCTGTCTCTGCCTTCCAAGTTCTTGGATTAAAGGCATGTGCCACCACCACCCAGGTCAGTGTGATTTTTTTAAGGTAAATTAAAAATGCCATTCTCCTGAACATTACCCAAGTCTACTGTGAGGACAAAAATTGGCCTGACCTCTCCACCCCTTCCAGATTCTCTGCTCCCTGTTACAGAGTCCATGTGCTCAGAATATTGCACTATCTCCCCTTCAACTCAGTGGTGTTGTGCATCTTTGATTTCTCAGCTCATCTACTGCTTCCCTCCAGTGTTCCCTACGTTCAGTGTCCCCTGTACAGTCTTTGACATGTCACATACACACTCCTCAATCAAGATACTGTGAAGAGCCCAGCAGTACCAGTTCTGGTACCACACAAACATGTGCTGAGCAGTGAGCAATGCTGTAGTTTTAAATGGCTAAAGGAAAATCTAGGCCTACTTTTTTGGGTGTTTTACATTAACTGTATTTGAAGAGTAAGCACCAATGGCAAAGTGTTCAGTCCCTCCACACCACAGTGCAGACTTTGTCTGAATCTACTGTTAATACATCAGGTTTTATTATAGAAGTGCACACCATTCATCTGAACAGCACCACAGGGTTTCCATACCAGATGCCTCTTTCTCTCATCCTGATTGGTCCCCGGGTGGGAAGGGGAATACATATCCAAAATTAGTAGATGACACAAAAAACAAGTAACCAAGGAAATTCACAGATACAACACACATATATATATATATATATATATATATATATATATATATATATATGTTGTATTCCTACCCAAGTTCTATGTCCAGATGAACCATCAAGCCAAAGAGAGAGAAAAAAAAATTTCAGACTATCTAAATGTTTTAAATGCATCTCCTAATACTGAGTGACTTGGATATGACTTGTCTGTCAAGCCAAGATCTTCCAAGAGCTAAAAGAAAACCATTAATATTATGTCAGTACAAATATGAACAAGGACATCCCCACACACACTGAGACTGCTGAGGGTGCATCACAGGGAAATGAAAGACAGCCAACAAAGAAGAATGTAATCTCAGAAGTGAAACACAGATCCAGGAGTAAAACAAATAGAAACTCAAGATAGGAAGAAACGGGGCCCAATAAGGTAGGAAACAGTACAATTACACCTGCCAACTAAAATGTTTTGAGCAGGACATTTCTTCTGTCCATATGGGAAGGAGAACAAATAGAAACACAAGACAAAACAAAACGCCCTAGAAGAAAGTTAGAGCAATGTTGCCCGCGGGTACAAATTTACAATCCCAGGTATCCAAGATATGGAGGGAGCAGGATCTCAAATAAGATCAGAACATGACCTGTCCAAAGACACTGGTTTAGTAATAGAGACATTGTTTTCAATCATATTACTAGATTTTGTTGAAGTAATAAAAATCATTAATGCTATTTTTAATATCACACTTCACTTTTAATTCACTATAATCCTGATTATATTCACTGTTATTTCCTCAATAATATAAAACTAGTATATATGCCTCTCATTGTTTCATGTAATATCTGTCCCATGCATGCTTCCCACACATGAAACCATAAGTCATAAGTTCATGGTTGTCAGGGTCTACTATGTGAAGTTTCTGTATATGCTGTATTACCGAGCACAAACTAAGTGCTCCACAATGATGCTTTATCTGAAAGGAGAAAGGCAGAGCAATCAATACAGGTCAAGTTCTAGAACAAACTTTTTTTTTATAAACATCAAATTATAGTCTATCTAGAAATTTTATTGTATCAGATGTGACTAGAAATAAAATGTACATCATGCTTGGCATAAGAATCTCTGGGTCTTAACTGCGGACTATGTGAGTTGTGTGTTTCATTTTCACTAAGAAAGTAGAAGAAAGGAGGGGCTATGAAAGCCCTCAAATCTGTTGGTTAGGGACTTCCAGCTCCTTCAGGTAAATCAGCCTCTTGCATTCAGATCACCCAAGCTCCATTCAAAATGCCTCCATGTGCAACATTTCCTCATTTGAGACATAAAGGGAACACACAGTATTGCCCCTATTTCATTAATACACAAATGATTGACATTTACTTTGTCATGGCATGGGACCACACCAGTTTATACAACTTTTTTTTTTCATTTTACAGATTGGAGTCGGGGGTGGGGGAGTGGGGGGTGGGGGGGTGAGGATTCAAGACAAGTTAAATATCTTGAATATCAAGAAAAGTTAAATATCTTTATTGCAAATTAAATATCTTGCCCAAAAGCAAACAAATTATTGAATGAATTAGTGAAAGAATAAATGGAAATACATCAACTTAAGTAAGGTTAAGATCACTCTTTTCATGCTTGAAAGAAGAATTTTCTAATTTTAAAATCATAGCTCCTTCTCCTTACTGATAATGTAGCTAATTTTAAAAAGGACCACTCATGACTCTTATTCATAAACTAAGTTCCCACCTCTAACAGAGTCCCCAGGTCCATGGACCTGAAAGGCACATGACTCGCTGACAAAAATCCATGTGGATAAGGAACTCAAACCAGAGAGGCCCAATCCCAAAGCAAAGTTCTCACCAGCATATCATGACATCCTTCAGTGGTGTTAGCTTAGGCAGAAAGAGCTAACTGTGAGCCCAGTGGCTCCTTCCAATCATAAGGAAGCTTAAGGGAAAGAAGAATCTTTCGTTTTAGGCTTTGTGCATTGTGAAAACCAAGCACGTGCCCTGAGTAGGAGAAGCCCCTTACCTCTGAGTACTGCACTAAGAAATAATTTGGATATGTGGTTCCCCTCCTAGAAGCCGCTAACTCCTTTCTTCTGGCAGGTGCCAAACAAAAGAAGGGCCATCTAACTACCTTGATCTCCCCCTCCCCCTAAAGCAGGGCCCCAAACAGGATTTTTAAAACAATTTTTATGGATTCTTTGAGGATTTCATACAATAGATTTTTGAACATACTCACTACCCTCATGTCCTGCCCTTATCCCCCTCTCTACCCTCCCACCCCTTCCCACCCAACTTTGAGACAACTTGTTTTTCTTCTTTCCCCACTGAGTTAGTGTGTGTTGCCCAGATAGTCTTGGGAGAGGGGAATGCTCTGGTGTGTGGTCTGCCTGCTAAAGATCACCTCATTAGAAAAGTAAACAAAAGGAAGAAAGGGAGGGAGGGAGGGAGGGAGGGA